CTCTGACGGAATATTTTCCTATATGTGGCTAACAACATTGCTGATATTCAAGAAGGTTCTAACAAACTTTTTTTATGCGCTTATGCTAGTAACTTACTGAACAAAGACTACTTTAAACGCTTTTCTTCAACTAGTATTTAATTGCTAAGATACTGAGTTAATCCACCTTAGTATGTGCATTAAGGCACAGAGCTGAAAAACCAGGGCTTTTGCAAAAGTTTTATAGTTGGTAAGAAGTTGCAAACATTCAAGCTCATCTTTATGTCTTCCTAGAATTATAGTTACTTAACCGCCACGCTTCTGTATTTCTATTTTAAGCGAAAATTGGAATATGGAGATATCTTACGCTGATTTGATATTTTTATTTTGCTATACTTTTTATTTCTTTTGGAAAGGGAAATAGAAGGGGGGATTTACGAATTAGCCTTACCGGAAGCCAGAGGAGTTGTGAATGTAGGTATGTGCAAATAATTCCTCGGCCATCTGACCTGAGATCCGGTGAATCAATGCTGAGCCTTCTTTTTTACTTAGCAGGCATCGTCAGCCTGAAGTTATGCTTTACGAAAATTCACTAGCCACTAAGGCAAAGGGATAGCCGACTAGAATTTTTACTAATTCAGTCCTATTTTTTTCCGCCTAATTGATCAATCATATTCGTTTTTTGAAAGTATGTTCATCACATAATTGTTTTTCATTTTTATCTGATTGAAAGACTGGATTTGCCTTACTTAATTAATTTCTTTAGAATGTATCTCATGATATAGATAATTTTAGGATTAAGGTAAATGTAAAATTCCATTCTTGGATAGAGACAATCAAATTACGGCAATCATCGTCTTGATATTTAATTGGCTTAGCTCTGAAACCTCTTTCAATTCCAAACAATGGCTAATAAGTTATGTTAAATAATTTTTATAAGTAAAATCGAAGCTTGCTGAGGAGCTAAGGAGTTTTGGTGTAATAACCAAAGAATTTTCAGTACACATTAAAGGCAGAGTAAGAGTAAGTGGTAGACCTATCCAAAGTATCATTTGATGGCTGAGAAGGTTATTTCAGGAGTTTGAACTTCGAGTTTAAAATATTGATGACAACAAGGATGAACTATTCTTTAACGATTGCTTCCCAATAGAGATTAAGAGTGATATTGAGTTAAAGGTTATCCCTTTACTTGCTAGCTATCTAGATGAGTAACACCTTAAATAAACTAAGAGACAAGGATTATGTTTAAAGCAGACAAAGGAGGAACGGGACAGATTTTTCCATATTTCGTCTAGAGTAATGGAAACCCACTTCAATACGAAAAGGAGAAGCAATTTTAGTTATGGAAATGATTTGCTGTTTAGCAAAAAAGGCTTAGATGGCATTGAAAGCTACAAAGTTACATCTAAGATCCTTAGAATAACTTATTATCATTGTTGTGAATAATAGGGTTTACGTGATGCACCAAAATATCATGATATATTTGCCACTAATTGAGAAAATATCAGACCTAGCAGTTTAAATGAGGAATTCTTTTAAATTCC